CTTTTACAAAATCCATACGATTGTCTCTGCTCAGGCAGATAAATAATCCCACAGTGAACGATGGATAAGAAATCACAGCAGTGCTCGTTGGAGGTAGATCTTGTTCGTGGTTTTCCCTTTTTTTTTTTTTTTTATTTTTTTTTTTTTTTTTTTTTTTTAGCAGTTTTAGGTTTATAGAAAAACTGCAGAAAGTACAGAATCCCCACACACCCTGCTCCATATCCCGTACATGTTGTTTCTCTTATTAACAACTTGCGTTTCTATGGTACGTTTGTAACCATTGATGACTGAATATTGATACATTGCTATTATCTCAAGTCCATAGTTGACCATAAGGGGGTCACTCTTTGTACTGTCCAGTCCTATGGGTTTTGACAAATGCATAATGTCATGGATACCTGTTCTGGATTTATTCTTCAAAATGTGATCAGAATTTGCTCCAAGGAACTTCTAGCATCATTTTAGAGAAGGTAATACGAAGTCCTTTTCGGTCAAGGTCTAAAATCTGTCTTTATTCACAGAAGTGGTTTACTTGGGAAAGCTGTGGAGGTTCCTCTGAGCTTTAGAAAGCGTAAGAGTCCAGTCAGGTACAATGAACACTTTTGATTGTACCACTTGAAAATGTGCAAATATTACCAGAATCACAACATTTCAGGACGGGAAGGTTCTTAGAAGACGCTTAACCCTACAGCTAGGTAGTTACCCTGTGAATACATGAGCACACGGGTGCAGAGATGTCCACCTCAGCACTGTTGGTAACAAGAACCTTGAAATGACCGACATATCCATCAGTAGTGGTTAAAGAATTATACAATACATCTGTACCTGCAGCTGGGAAGAAGAAAGAGGGAAAGGTATTTAGGATGTATCGTTCGTATGACTTTATTTGTGCAAAAGAAAAGAATGTTTGATGTATGCTTGTAAATGCTTAGCAAAGTTCTACACAAACACCCAAGAAACTGGACATCAGGGTAGCTATCAAGTTCCCACTTTGACCTTTTTGAACTGTTTGAATATCTTACTGTGAGCACATAGGGCCTTGTTGTAAAGACCTAGTGGCCAGTCCCATTGTTTAGAGTTAGGTTTAGGATTAGGATTAAAGTTAGAGTTTGGATTAGGCTTGGGTTTGGGTAATGGATGGGAGTAGGGTTGTTGTTGTTGTTAGGTGCTGTGTAATCAGTCCCAATGCACAACAGAATGAGACACTGCCTAGTCTTGCACCATCCTCACAATTGTGTGTTGTTTGTCATGTTAAAAATTCATCTAGTCTCAAACCCTAATCATTGAAGTATGTTCACCACTTGTTCATCCTGACTGTCCTTGAATACTTCCAGTGACAGAAAGTTCACTGCATCTTAACTACTAGACAGTGTTTTGGCAAAGAACCTCCCAAAGGTAATTAATTCCTAAATGACTTGCGTGTCTAGAGGGCTGCACTAGAATTCTGCTGGTAGTATCTATCCATCTTACCTTTAGGATTCTGGAGTAGGACAGCTCAGAGTTTTGATAGATAGTTCTTGGTATTTTTTCAGCTTAAAATTTTATTTTCAAATATATGAAAAAACTAATTGAGGGAAGTATGTTTCCTGCAAAGAGCCTTGAAGATACTAAAGAAGAAAATAGAAGACTTTTTAGGAAGCTGTTTTAAGGAGGATATCCAGTGTATATATAATAAAAGATCCTTGTTTTCTAGGTAACTGATATCTAGGTAGGATGTGGGGAGGGTTAGATGGATATAGAGTTAAAGGACATACATGAATACAAGCACTGTTACAAACCAGGGAAAAGGAAAGCCAATAAATATCAAGTTAAACAGGATGATGTTGACTAGATTCAAGGGGAAATCTTAGGTGGAGAGAAATAGAACTTGATCTGGGTTTTGAGAGACAGGGAATAGGGGGTAGGTGGCATTTGGGGGGGTGGAAGGAAATGGCATGAACAGAGATGGGAACACACAGGGAGGGTGACCACGAGCAGGCACATCTGACTGGGTGGAAAGTATTTGAGGGACCCTCTTACCTTCTTGAAGATGGTGCCCAGGAAGAGAATCAAGCCCTACCACAACCAATCTGTGGGGCCTTGTTGGAGAGACCTAGTGGTGAGGCTTATGGTTTAGAGTTAGGGTTAAAGTTAGGGTTCAGGTTAGGCTAAGGTTTGGATAATACATAGGTGTGGGGTTGTTGTTTTTAGGTACTTTGGAGTCAGTTCTGCTCACAGTGACTCTGTACAACAGAACAAAATACTGCCCGGTCCTGAGCCATCCTCACAAGCATTGCTGTTTGAGCCTAGTGTTGCAGCCACGGTGTCAATCCATCTTGTTGAGGGTCTTCCTCTTTTACGCTGACCCTCTACTTTACCAATTGTGATGTCCTTCTCCAGAGACTCATCCCTCCTGATAACGTATCTAAAGTACATGAGATGAAGTCTCACCATTCGCTTCTAAGGAGCATTCTGGCTGCACTTCTTCCAAGACAGATTTGTTCGTTCTTCTGGCAGCCCATCGTATATTCAATATTCTTTGCCAAAGCCATAATTCAATGACATCAATCCTTTTTCGGTCTTTTTTATTCGTTGTCTATCTTTTGTGTGCATATAAGGCGATTGAAAAGATTATGGTTTAGGTCAGGTGCACCTTAGTCTTTAAGGTAATATCTTTGCTTTTTAACACTTTAAAGAGGTCTTTTGAAGCAGATTTGCCCAACGCAATATATTGTTTGATTTCTTGGCTGCTGCTTCCATGGGCATTGGCTGTAGATCCAAGTAAAATGAAATTGTTAGCAATTTCAGTATTTTCTCCATTTATCATGATGTTCCCTATTGGTTCAGTTGTGAGGACTTTTGTTTTCTTTATGTTGAAGTGTAATCCATACTGAAGGCTGTTATCTTTGATCTTCATCAGTAAGTGCTTCAAGTCCTTTTAACTTTCAGCAAGCAAGGTTGCATTATCTGCATAGCACTGTTTATTAATGAGTCTTCCCCCAATCCTGGTGCTATGTTTTTCTTCATATAGTCCCACCTCTCGGCTTATTTGATGAGGGATGGGGTTAGTGTTGGGTTTTGAGTTAGAGTTAAGATGAAAGTTAGGGATAGAGTTAGGCTTAGGGTGAGGTTTAGGATCTGAGTTAGAGTTGGTCAGCAGATCAACATGCCTGGGCCTGTGGATATATGTTTCTTAAAGACAGTTTCACTAGAGAGATCTATGGACCTATGAGATTTTGATTTCCCGGACTGTGTGAAACAAGGCAAGTCAAGGCAAAGACTGTTTTGAAATGTCCTATTTGTTTATTTTTTTTTACACTTTTATTTGTTTATATATCAAAAGTGAATAAGCATATGATTAAACACAATTTCAAGAATATTTGACTCCACAGTTTGGTATCCTCGTGGGACTGTATGTGGCTGTCACTGTCCAGTGCATAATGAAAAAAAACAAAACAGTAAAAAATGAGAAATTTTCACTGAAGAACATGGTGGGAGGATTAAGGTTCTACTAAATTACATTCACTTCACATCTATGTGCAATTCTTCAGTAACTTGGTCTTTATGCCATACCTTCTAGCTGATAGGTTTTCAAAAAGATTATCTAACTGTTGCAGTTGAGCCCAAGCTCTCTGTCTCTCTCATTGTCTTTCCTTCTCTCTCACGTGTCCACTGCTCACACACAGCAGCCGGAAATGACACATTGAAGTGACTCACCAATGCGGCTGTGAGTCACCCTGTAATTGGGGAAAGTTCTGTCCTGGTAGGTCGCGCAGCCCCTTGCACTTCTGTTCCTAAATATATTGGAAAATTTTGAAACCATGCTGTTGTCACTCTAGTCTCTCTCCCTACCCCACCCTTCTGGTCACTGAAGTGTGCTGAGGTTGGATAATCTTAGCAAAGACTCACTCTGTTCGATCAAGTAGAAAGGCAAGGAAATGAGAGGAGAAGGGGTTTGGGAGGCCACACGGTGGCAGTGTGGGCCCCTCCATCACACCTGATGCCCAGAGGGTGTGATGGTCAAAAGGCCTGAGCAGAGGTTATCTAGGATTTGGCAAGTAGGGCACGTGCCCTGGGTACCACGTGGGGGGTACTAATGAGCACTTTCTATTGCCCATCACTGTTTCCATTACCAGGTGTGAGAGGTCATTCAGCAGTTCCAACTCATTGCTGGAAGTGCTATTTTTCATAGATAAGTCTCTGGGCCTGAGTGTCAGTGACAATCTCTTCTGCTCACAGACCTCAAAGGAACACTGCGAGCAAGTTTAAATACTACATTTTTTCTTGATTGTTCTCTCTCTTTCTAACAGACACACGGGGAGGATATGATAAATACTCAAGCACACTGCTGGCGCCTCACTCTCCCAACCAGGAGCCTGGAGGCAAACAGCCAGCACACATGTAAACTTTCATCCTCTCTTCTTGCAAAATAAAGTTTGTGGGAAGCAACAACCTGCTTCTATGAGTAAACAAGTCACCTACACTCCAAAATGATATGTACACTCTGTGCCTGGGGAGGGGACGGCCAGGCCAGGAGGCCCTCAGCACTGGGTGTGCAGTTGCTCTGCTGGTCCCCAGCACCTCCGAGGCTAGGGAGGGATTGCCAGCGCCAGAATGGACCTTAAGACGAAAGGCTGTTTCTACCATTGGCCTTCGCTGGCCTGTTGCCAGCCTTCTCAGCCACAGCAGACAGTGCAAGAGTGACTGCAACGTGACTGGAACACAAATTGTTTCTAAAGCACATGAAAGCTCCCATAAGCCTGTGGTTCCCTCCTGCCAGGGGCTCAGTGGGAGCCAGTTCTGAAGACCTGAGTGGGCAGGAGAATGGACAGAAGCAGCTGACTTGTCCCGTGAGTGCTGGAGTCTGTCTGGGAGACCTCCAAGATGTTCTGCTTCAGGCTTCTTCTCTCTTCTTTGGAGTTGTCCTCTTCCCACCCTTAGGGAAGGAGCCTCTACAGGGAGAGGCAGAGGTCTAGGAGGCAGATTGGAAAGATTTACATATAAAAAAAATATTTTAAGTGAAATATCTTCTCTTTCTCCAAAGAATAATTAAAACAAAAATTCTTCTTTTTAGAGTTTCTGCTTTTCTGATATGTCTCCAGTTCTATCCCAGATGAGGGCTTCTTTTTCCAAAGTCAAGGTTCCATCACCTGACCCATGAAGAGGACTGTGCCTGAGGATGAAAAGACAAACCATGGGAGTTTAGATTGGAAGAAACTGCTACTCCCACTGAGATCCCAAGGAGATAAGAGTTGTCAGAAGTCACAGCCTTTTACTGACTAAGGTAGGACTTGAGTCCCATTTCACTGCCCAGCACTCTGTCTACAAGAAAGTGGAAGAAAATGGATAATTGAGGGGCCAGAGGGGTTATCTGTATCTGTCTGGGTTGGTGCCAAGACAAGGAGGATGGATAGAGGATTCATGGAGCATCATGGGGTTTCGGCTCACCTGTGGGGTTGTGCCGCACCACGAAGAGGAAGGGTCTGTCCATGATGATCTCCTCGGGTACCATTCGGGCCGAGGCCACGATGGCTGGAGGAGAAGACACAATATCTTAGAACACTTAGCTGGACCAGCAAGTGTCAGAAAGTTCTCTGGACTCTGCTTTCCTTCAGTCACTCTATCAGCTGTCCAGCCACAAACTTTTAGGTTGTCTAAACCTTTTTTTGGGCTCCTTGATAAGCAGGTTCCTTAAGTTTACTACCCACCATGGGAAAAAAACAGGCTTTTCACATTCAGGTGACCTCAGAAGCCATCAAGGAAAGGAATAGGGTCCCAGGGAAGGGAGGGGTATATTTCCAGGCCAAGAACCACCAGTGGGAGAAGAAAGAACTGCCCTTGGGAGTGAGGCCTGCATGGAGAAGGACAGCAGTGGCTGGACCCTTGCTGCCCCGTCCTGGGTTTGGGGGCTGGTTATCCTGAAGGACAGAGCCTCCCCTGGGCCAGACTCACCTGTGGACGAGGAGGCCACTGTGCCGCTCTCATTCACCTCGATCTTCACTTTCTGCAGCGCCTGTGACACGTAGAGATGCTCTTGATCTGAAACAAGTGGGCACAGACTACATGAGTTCTCAGAGAAAGCTCCTTTGTCCTCTTAGGGGTCCTGCAGTCCACTAAGAGCGAGATGAAGTAAAGGGAAAGTCCCTTACCTGAAAGACCCGTGAAGTCTGCCCGCTCTGGCCTGAACATGTCGGTCATCCCCAAGTTCTCCAGGGGCATCCTGAGGTCAAGTTCACTCTCCAGGGAAAATCTGTAGGGTGGAAGCAGGAAGCAGCTCAAGACTGGCTCCCTCTTGGCTGATAGCACCCAGCCCTCCTAGCCAGGGATTCCGCAGCCCCTACCAGTCCTCCCTGTGGGCAGCCCGGGACAGTAGGCACTCACATGGAATTGGAGAGGGGGGCCCTGCTTTGGGAGATCTGTTTGAAAGATCTCTTGTCACTGGAGGTGTCTAATATTAATGAACTCTTCTGCCATCTCCCCACCCCCTCAAGCCTATGACTAACTACTTTCCTCAAAGAAAGCAGCAGTTGCAGTATAATTTTATTCAGTCTGGTTGGGGGGCCAAGGGCAATTCTCCTGGGAGGATATTTAAACAAAACTCTAGTCTGTAGATTGTGTTTCTGAGAGCTGACCTTGAAGAGGACTCAAGCAGCGAGGTTTGGGGCTCTTTCTACTTCCCACCAGGGGGTGACTAATTACCTGTATTTTTATGAAAGGGAGGAGGGTGGGAGCAACCCAACTAACTAAAGATCCCTCTTTCTCCAAGCCTGGCATGATTAGCATCTGGAAATTTGGGGTAAGCATAGTGAGAGGTTTCACAGCCTCAGCCTTCTCTACCCTTTGCTCCTGCAGAAAGAGTTAAAAAAAATCTGTTCTGTGACCATTGGAACCCCAGCTAGAAGCTGCAGTTCAGGCTGTTTTATCTGCAGAAGTGAGTCCTTTTGTTCCCAGTATTTGAGTGTTGATTTGAGGAGTTAGGGGGCAGGGAATGAGGGGCATCCAAAAAGAAAACAAAAAAAAAGAATCTTGTCCCCCCTTCTTCCATCATTTTTCTGGTTCTCCTTTTGGCTTGTTTTCACTGGGTATTCCAGGGGGGTGAATGTGGGAGAATCATCTAGAAAAGTTCTCCCTGTGCTACAGCAGAAACAGGAGGAGGGCTCTGTGAGAGGAGTCTTAATGAAACCCAGGCTAGACAATTTCCCATCACCTTCCCACACATGCCCCTACCAGGAAGACATTAGGGTTCTGGGAATCCCAACAGGGGGCAGTGCTTTCAGGAGCCAAGGGAGAGGCGAGGGAAGAGGGGATTAAGCAATTGGCCAGTGTGCTGAGAGCAGGGGCTGGCTTACTTGGGCAGAACCAGGAGGCGGGGCAGTCTGGTCATGTTTCCTTTCCAATGGCTGATGAGCTGGGCATCCAGAATGTTGGTGAGGGCAGAGAGAGGCACCTCTTTTTCATAGGGAGCAGCAATGAACATGCTGATAGTGTCGCCGTGGTAGGGCAGTTCCAGGATGTCATAGTAATGGCCATCAGGGGTGGAAAACTCAGCTGTGGGGACACAAAGATAGCCTTCTTGTGCTCCCCACTCTTGCTGGAAGCAAAGCTTTCCATCCCAGCTTTGGGGGTGTCCCTACTCAGTACGTTTATTTCCATTTCCCTTCCCTCTTTTGCCAGTTTTCAGGGTCTTCCAGTCTCTATGTCTTTTTGTGGCCTGCCTTTCCTGCGTTCTCTTCCCCAGCACCCAACCAGGAATTTCTTCCAATTGATCCACTTTCCCTTAACCTCAGCTTCCACATAGCCTCCCCCCAGCAAGGTTTCTCAGCCCCAGGTAATCACTCTAGAAACACATCAGGATGAGGCAGGAGTCAAGTGGTCCAAAGAGGGCCTGAGAGAATTTCATTTAGCTTCAGCTTGCCTGAGATAAAGCTGCTTTCTAGTGATGAGATTTCCCCAGTGTCTTGCACTGGGGAAATCTTTGTCAAAGTTGGGACACATTCTACAATCTTCCTTCCTCAGAAGGAAACATTTTGGATGTCCCCCAGGGGACCCTAGGGGGTGAGCTGCAGTAGTTTTAGGACTTGCAGGAGGGGGTCTTGCACTCACTGTAGTTGAACTTGTTGGTCTGAGACATCATGGACACGGAGACTGTGCTGCCGTCAGACTTGTGGAAGAGGCGGTGGTGGGTGTCTGAGGCTGGGAAGGGCATCTTCCACTGGCCGTTAAAGTAGAGGGCATTCACCAGTACCAGACGTGTCAGCTGGTCTATGGCCTCTTTGCCAAGTAAGTCACTGATCATCCCTGTGGGAAAGCCAAGTAATCAGGAGGCTTGTTGGATGTTACCAAGTTAACTCTAACTCATGTTGTTGTTGTTGTTATTTGCCATCAAGTCGGCCCTGACTCATAGCGACCCCTCCTTGGGTTTCCGAGGCAGTATCACTGCGGAAGTAGGATTGCCCAACCTTCCTTCCGAGGAGTGGCTGGTGGGTTTGAACCGCCAGCCTTCTGGTTAGCAGTCAAGTGCCTTAGGCACTATGCTACCAGAGCTCCCACTCTAACTCATAGTGACCCTATATGATAGAGCAGAAATGCCCACTGGGTTTTCTAGGCTGTTGTCTTTATAGGAACAGATTACCATGTCTTTTCTCCCACAGAGCCACTGCGTGAGTCCGAGCTGCTGACCTTTGGGTCAGCAGCCAAATGCTTGACAGTTGTGCCACCGGGACTCCTTCATCAGGAGGCCAGATACTTTTTCACTCATTTCAATGGTTCCCTTCGGTCCTCACATGAATGCATGCTGAAGGGATCCAGTCAGAGGGGATGACTGGCAATTTAAATGAATCATGTCGGCTGCCTTCAACCTGTTGCATCCTCCTATGGGTCTCAGAAAGTCTTCCCACTCATCTCACTTTCTTGGTTCTGGGGGCCTATCAAGGATCAGGCTCTGATATTTATGTCTTCCCTTATTTTGTCCATCACTTTGCCCTCTAAGCTGCAATCTTGTGTGTTGTGGCAATCTCTGTTCTTACAAATCCCACAAGTCTGTTTAGGGATGCCCTGGGAGTTGGTTCATGAGAAAGCCTAATTAATAGAAATATAAGGGCTTATGCTTTGGTTCTTAAAGCACTTCACTTTCAGTCCACAGAGAAGAGAATGCCAAAAGGTAGGCATTAGGATACTTGATTGATTTCCAAATCCCCTCTTCTCTGCAGGCCCTTGGCTTACCTCTTGTGTGTCTCTTCACGTAGTCATTGATGATGAACCTTGCTCTCTTCACCTCTGTGAAGTTCACCTGCTTGATCGTGCTGTGGAACAGCCTGAAGAATTTGGGCATGAAGCCCTGGACCAGCTTCAGGTCTCGCTGGACGAAAATGGCATCTGTTGTGCTGATCTCATCCTTGTTCCATGGCCCCATGAGCTCCTTGTACAGCTGACGGAGGACGGGGGCCATGCCTTTCTCTGTGTTAGGCAGGGAGGATAGGACACGTTAGGCTCTGTTTAGCTGAAGGCTGACTTCCCCCATGAGAGGCCCCAACCCTGCCTGAGTTGATGGGCCTCTCACCCTTCACAAGGGTTCACCTTCCAGATTATTCTTCCAGACCTTACTGTCTTTTCTGCATCTTCCTCTTTCCTCAAAAGTCTTAGGTTCTAGTCCTTTCTTTGGGTTAGAATATTTTTTCACCTGTTCTTAAGTTATGAACCCTAAGTTTTTTCTTCTTCTAATAATAGCTAAGCTAAGGATTTTGTATGTATCATTCTATTTACTCCTTACAAAGGAAACCAAACCAATTGCCATCAAATCGATTCTGACTCATAACAATTCTAGAGGGTTTCCAAGTTATAAATCTTTATAGAAGCAGACTGCTCATCTTTCTCCCATGGAGCACCTGGTGGGTTTGAACTACCAACCTTTTGGTTAGCAGCTAATGGTTTAACCACTGTCACCAGACCTCCTTTTACTACTTACAGCAGCTTTATATGATAGGTACTTTTATTATCCCCTAAACTGAGGTTTAGAGAGGTTAGGTAACTTCTCAAAGGTCACATAGTTAGTAACTGCTGAGTGAGGTTGTTTTGCATCAAATCCCCTGGTCTGTGAACCCTGGGTCTTGTCCAGGGCCAAGTGGTGCAGGGTGTGGTTGGAGGAAGAGATGGTGTTTACTGTATCACAGCAGCACGTGAGTTAGTTGGCCAAGCTGGAGCCAGTCTTATCTCAGCTTGGTGAAAACCTTTGCTTCTGGCTAGTTGGACCCCTGCTCTGTGACACCTGCTCCACACCCAGTGCCCACAGTACTCGTCTCTCACCTTCAATCTTGAATTTCATCGCTGCGTGGAGCTGCTGCCGGGTGTCCCCTCCTGTGGTCAGCTGCAGCATGGCCAGCACAGAGGTCACCCCATAGGGTGAGAACACCACGTTGCCATCCTTGGAGGCCTGCACCACCTGCTGAAACACCTTCAAACCAAAGTTCGTGGCCAAGTGGGCTGCCTGGGACTTGGGCAAGGCAGACCCTTCACCAGAGATGAGGGCCAGGCCCAGGGCAAGGCAGATGATGGCTGGTGACATCTTCATCCTAGAGCAAATGGAGAAGGGTCTGATGAGCAAATAGTTCTAGAAGAGTAGAGAGGGAAGATGGCACCCCAGCCATACACCAGGTCTTCCCTCACCCGATGCTGGCAGGTGATAAGTGAAGTTGAGGGCACGAGTCATGAAGAACACGTAACAAATGCAGATTCTGGGCCTGCCCACTCTGTCTCACTGGTCAGGCCCTAGGGAGTGTTAAGCCCACTCTTAATTGTTCTTCATTCTTCACCTGTGAGAATCTTGGAACTCTCTGCCACCACCCTCCCCCTTCAGGAGCAGAGAGGATAAGTGATAAAAGCATCTTTGATGTGTGTGATGATTTCAGTTCTCATAGTACTTTTGCAGTTATTTTAGCGAGTTTACAATTATAGCAAGTTGTTATTGATAGCCTGCTGTTGAGTTTGACTCATGGTACTCCATGATGTTGTGATACAAAGCTCCGCTGAAGCCTGTTCAGCATCGTAGCAACATGCAAGCCTCCACGGACGGGTGGTGACTGTGTGAGAAGTGCACGGGCCAGGAATCGAACCTGGATCTCCTGCATGGAAGGTAAGAATGCCAGCACTCAACCACCAACAGCCCCTTCAAATCAGCAGGTAGGAAAACCCCTTTCGTGAGGAGGGAAAGGAGGTCGTGTTGTGATTGAGAGGGACGGACACAGTCAAGGTTACCAGTTCGGGTGGTAGGGTTGTTGGTGGGGCCTGGCCACGTTCCCTACTCCCCTACAATCACCACTAAGGTGGGGTGAACTCAAGGCTACAGGTCTTTGGGGCACCTCTGAGAAAACAGAGGGAAGATGGGGGATCTCTGGCCAAGGAGACTGTGAGGAGAGGAGCTCTCGGGGTATGTTTGGCTTTCCTCTTACCTGAGGTTCTCTGAGTGCCTTGTGATGGTGGGTCTGTCCTGCTGCTGTTGGGCTGCGGTTGCTGTGGCCTTGTGGAGTGCCTGCTCTGGCTGGACGACAGCTGCTGGAGAGGGGCGTGGCTCCCCTGACAGCCTCTGGTTCCTGAGCCAGATGCAGCTGGTCCTCTGGCTGTGCCTCCCTTTATACCCGATGTGGGCAGGAAGTAGACTAACTCATGTTTTGGCCCCACCCACCTTTTGGCTCTGGAAGTCTGTCTGAACAGTTGGCTGGGCCCCCTGGACACCACCCTCTCCAGGACTTGCTGAGGCATGTGTGTGTGTACGTGTGTAAGAGGGCTTGGGAAAATTGAGCAAACCCTGATTGTCCTGGCCAAAGGGCCTCTTCGATTTTGTCACCCTCTCCTTTGTCCTTCTCTTTACTGACGTTTCCCAGCTTGACCCTGGCAGGGCCAGGTGGCCAGAAATGCACTGTTTGGAATTACCTTCCCCAATGCTCAGCTTGGGGAAAGCAGCTCTGTTTTTACCCCTTTCCCTGGGAGAAATGGGTAGTAATGAGTTACCAAAGAAGCTAATGAATCTGCAGACTTTTCCTCCACTATTTCACCCATGCCAACCCAGCCTCCAGGAGAGAGCACCTGTCCCTCCTCTTGGCTTATGCCAGTGGCCAGAGGACCCTGTGAATGTCTGAGCATTGACAGTCTAGGAAGTGAGGAGTCCTGTCTTCCCTCTCCCCTGCCATGTGTCTGCCTGGTGCAGCCTCTGATGATGCAGGGCTGACTCCCCCAGGTGTCCAGACTCCTGCGGTGTCCTGACAGCTCTCTTTTGTGCCAGCAGCCCTGTCTCTGGCTGGTGTTTGGGTTGCACTGGGTGGGGTGGTGGAGGTTGCCAGGGGTTACCAGCGTAAAGCCTTGGCAAGGAATTGGGAACCCAACATAGATGTTTGTTTCTTTGAGCTGCCAGCTGGGACTGGGGAGAGGCTCTGTCTTATCCTTTTCCTGCAGATACAGACACTTGGGGCCTGGAGCAGGGGAGCAGGAAGAGAAAGGGAAGGGCCAGGGCATGGCGGGTCTGCGGGTGGTACGGGAGTCAGAGTGCAGAGTGGCCAATGTGTTCTGTAGAGGGTGGGAATAGGCCAGAGGTGAGACAGTGGGACAGGACTCATGTGTCTGGAGGTTTGGCTGGGTTGGGCACCCTTGGTCGTGTGGCCTGGATGTTGTGGAGGGAGGGGTGGCTGGGGAGGTCAGAAGGGTCCTAAAGGGGAAGACAGCACACATGGCCCTGGGGCCCATGTCATGCTTTGTGTAGGTTGTGGGGTTCAAACAGGAGTATCCATAGAGACATCTGGAAGTAGAGTCACAGGAAGTGTGAGTGGGTGTGAACATCAGGGTATTTGTTTTGGATTGTATCGGTAAACAGATACTAAGGGCAACCACAGCTGAATAGCTTTCCCATTTTTCCTCCGCCTTTGTTTTCTCTGTTGCCTCTGGGAGTGAGGTGGGTGTAGGATGGCAGGGAGAGAAGGGGAAACCTCAGTTGGAAAGTCAGGATCACACACATGTTGTAGAACTGTTCCTGTGTATTTGTGCTTTGTATATGTCTTTTTCCTTTTCTGAATTGTGGTTTGGATTCCTCAAGTGAGTGGTTAGCTATGAAGTCTCAGTACTTGCCCAGCCTCTAGGATGAAAACAGAAATCCAGCCCCTACCTCCAGAAATGCCCCCAGTTCCTTGCCTTTCATCCTTAGGGCTCAGAGGGGGTCAGGGAACTGGGAATCTGGGCTGGGAGCTCCAAGCCCTAAGGAGTTGGAAGACCATTGACTCTAGATACAGCTGGAAGTGGCGTCCATGAGGCATCCCAGCCCCTGTCCTCTCCAGCCTCCTGAGCTGAGTCTCAGTCCCTTCCTTGGTCTGTTATTCCAGGATCTCACTGCCCATGCCTTGCCAGGCCTTAGTCGTGAAAGCCCATTATGGGTGACCTGGGCCCTGCCAGGCGGTGACCAATCCCATCCTTCTCACAGACCTGGTGGATGGGCCTGACCTTTCCAGAAAAGCCACTCAGCTCTCAGGCACAGGAGAGCCTCAACATAGCTCTCTACGTCCTAGAGAGATGGGGACACACTTTACTTTGGAGTCGATCCCAACAAAGAAGCAGAAAGAGCTGGCTTACCAAGGGGTCATTTCTCAATCTGAAGGAGACTTGTGGGAAAATGGTGGATATGTGCTAGAAACTGTAGTCAAACCTAGTGTGACCGGCTCCCAGGTGGGAGTGACTTGGTCAACCTAGATGAGCTATGGTCAGATTTGACTGTGATCACTGCCACTCTTCTCTGCAGACGGCCTTGCCTGCATGTTGTCCACCCCCTGCAGACAAGGCCTTCCATACACTAGGGCACCGCTGTTGTGGGTGACTGGGTGTTGCTCCCCAGCCACTTTCTCAGAATCTACCCTGACTCAAGGAACTGTCACTTTTCCTGAACCCCACACTAATACCTTCACCCAATTATCTCATTCAAGTCTCAGTTCTTTTGTAAGGAGTCAAAGGGCCAGAAAGGAAAAACTCCCTGTTGTTGAAATATCTACTGGTTTAGAGATAACCAGAGTGTCAGAGATAAGAGGATGAGTTACTCGTGTGGATTTCTGGGGAAGTTCCAGTTCCAGCTGACTGGGAAGGATGCCTCCATCTGCCCCAGAGCAGGTGGTTCCTGGGAAGACCAGACTCACTCTTTCCATGACTGTCCCTCACCCCCACCCTCACGCCCCCATGGGCGCTTGGTTCCATTTGGGCTTTTTGTGGCGCTTTCGCCACCACCAAAGTCTTCCCTCCAACCATGACATCTTGCCCCGGCGTTGCCCTTTTGTCCACCCTCTGCTCTTCCTCTTTCTTCTCTGTTGCCTCTCTCAACACCCAGACCCATTCACTTTCCCTTCTCTATCTGAGACTCCCTCTCTTGGGAATCTCTTTTGATTCCTGGTTGACCTCCCATTCTTTCCCTCCTTCTCCTCGATCCTTTGCCTCTTGAAAATTTCCCCCCTTTTTCTGAGCTTTCTGACTCAATCCCTCTTCCCCTCTCCTCCCATCTTCTAGAATCCCTTTTACAGTCAAATGTTCAGCTCCAGGCCTTCCTGTGGGGAAGAGAAGGCTGCCTCCAAGCAGTTACACAAGCTCCCTGGAATGTTGGAGAAGGCTCCTAATTCTGACTGATTTCACTGGGAGAGCTGGGGGTGGGACAGGAGGGTCCTGCTAACTCAGAGCACTATTTCTGGCCTGGTTGCTCTCCAAACAACACAGCTCCCAAAATAGCCTGTGTTTGGGCCTGACTCTTCCTGTCTCTTGGGAGTGAGGCTGAGGGGAGTGCTGTGCTTCACCTAAATCCATGGCCCTGGGATAGCGAAGCCTTGCCTGCCCAGGCTCCTGCCGGCTCCTACCACCGGCTCTCTGCTACACTTTCCCTTCCTTTTTCTCCAGAACCTTCTCCTTTCTGCCTTCTCCATACGCAACCAGCCATCTCCCCTTACGCCTCCATAATGACCCAGTGTGGCCCTCGCTTATGCGTGGTCGCTTTTTCCCTCTCACTGTATCATAGGGTTTCAGATCTGGGACAGGCTGTAGGAAGCACATTCCCTGCTGAGGGATAATTTGTACCAGAGAGGTTAAGCGATGTGTTTAAGGCCGCACAGTGAAGGCACCATAAATAAACAGTGGCCATTGGATGAGAGAGACCTGTTTTCAAGTCTAGGATCTGATAGTTGTCAATTATGTGTTTTCAGGTAAAACTGAACCTTTCTGTGCCTCAGTTTTCTTATTTGTAAATGACGGATAACGATTTCCATCTTCCAAGGCTGTCATGACCATTAAATGAAATACTGTCTGTAAAATGCTCAACACATTTTATGCTGTTAACAAGGGGCCAGGACAGGAACCCAGATGTTGCGAGCTGTTAATTTTGGTAGAACGCAAGCTCCTTGAGAGGGGGATGTTTTTGGGGTTCTCGTTTACTGCCTCTGCATTCAGTGGAGTATTGGCATTAAATGCCCCGAAAGTGAGTTGACTCCTGCTTCTCCCCCCATCTCCATGGCCTCCACTGGCTGACTTTGCCAGTTTTAGGCCCTGGGAAGATACTCTCTGG